TAGTAAGGTATATGTCAAGATAATTGGTTGAGGTTTATCAATAGTACATGCCAATTGATATATTTAGAGATTATGCATGTAAATATGTAAAGTACCGTATATTGTCATAGATATTATACCTGATGGTAAAACGTATTATGCAAAAAGGAAATCGAGGGTATATTTTTAATTGAAATAATAGGTATACCGCATACATAAAAAACAATGTGGCGCTAATTTTTTTAGGTATTGAATGTTGTTGATTTACAGAAAACTAATATTTAATTTTCGTACTCGTTTCAGTATCCTTCAGTGGCGTGCAGTGCAAATCAAAGTAGGATAGTCAAAATTTAACAAAATAAAATAAGAATAGTATAGACAATAATTAATTAATCAATTAATATAATCACATATCTTTTATTGTAAATTGAGAGAAAAATTTTCAGATTTGGCATCACTGCAAAGGACGACGGGCGATGAAACTAAATCACGCTTTCCATCCTCATTTTATCTCTTTCTTACACATTTGCCTTCCAGTCCTTGCGGTCTGAAGAGTAGATGGAAGATTCGTAAAAAAGTAATATCGTTGATTGAAAGATTTGGGAAGATACGCAACCTAATGGGCGAAATCGTGACAAGGCTGATTTGATTTCCCCTTAAGTGCTGTACTGTGGCCACTCGTTTTGCGGCCAACGCATAAAGCACTCATATTCTCTAATTCGACCAGCGAAGGCATATCGAAAACGGTGTGGAACTGAGAGCGACAGTGTTGCCAGATTAAAATGTGTAATATCTGTAATACTTTATACAAAAATATCATTGAATGAAAAATCTGCGTTTATGTATTGAAAATTTATTGGTGTTAAACATAGAATAAACAACGAAAATATATATTCTAAATATAACAAAATATTTCTATCCTCGTTTCTGTCCTGGAGTATCTTGATTTCATGTAAAAGAATAGATGAAACAAAAGGCAATGTACCTACATATTTTGATTAAAATTAAGTTTAATCATATTTCTTTATTATTATAATAAAATAGGTAAATCTATATGTACACAAATAAAAAAATATATACACAAAATAGGTAAATCTACGGATTAATCCGTTGTTCTGGCAACACTGTCTTCGGTAACCACCCACTCTGTCGACTGAAAGCAGAACTAAGGTACAGTATTGTTTATCCGCTGCGCTGTAAACTATCAGCGTGCAGCGGCGGCCGCGGCGCAGAGCTAAACTAAATCTCGAATATGTTGACGGTAACGCCAGCTACATCTTGGACATATTTTGTGCCACGAAATCGCCCATAAGGTTGCGCATCTTATTTTTTCAATCTACGGTAATATAGTAAAAAGTAATATAAAGTAAATCAAACCGACTTGGCGTAAATCATATGGTGCGCCTGTATGGTATACATGATTTTATATGTGAATTGAGGCGATAACGCAGTAGTCAAAAATTATTTCAATAAATTTTAGGTAGTCTCTAGGATAAAAATAAGATAAAAAATGCGTATTGTGAATATTTGTGGATTAGTAACGAGCTATAATGTAATCGTATAAAAAGAATATGATATAGTTTGGGATAGGCAACGCCTTGTTGCCTACATTATATGCACACCATTGGTATCCTTATTTCCATATTTATTACTGCTGTAAAATAAATCTCTAATAAAATAATAAACTATAATGTAGTTTTAAATGTAGTACATCTTTCAATTAATTACAAGTTAATAATACACACATTATGACTAGAAAAAATCAAGTTAATAAATTTGCAAATTTCACACGTTTTTGGTGCTATATGATATTTTTTGGTATATTAAATAATTTTTGTTAGAGTAAAGTTTAGATACTGTTTTAGGTAAATTAAATAGTGGAACAAATTTACTATATAAAACAGACAATTAGAGAAACTCTAGTAATTTCTAATTACCTACTCTGATAACTTCAGGGGATAATGCTTCCATAAAAAATATTAGTAAGTTATTTATTATCTGTTAGATTCACAAATTTTAGATATTATGGTATAAAATACTTATCAGAAATAATTATTTTATTGTTTAGAGCAATAAATTTATAATAAATGCAGAAATTATTTTTCTGTAGGTACACATTGGACCAATCGTTTGAAGTGATCATGAGAAATTTGCCATCCAGGTAAATTTTTACACTTACTACAATAGAGGGAGTGGTCTCTGAAATTGTCGTGATGTTTCTATTGAAGCTCTAAATAATCATTTTTCAATCTTATTTGTTAAAAATAAACAAACATAATAAAAAATAGGTATAATTTTTTGGAAATAGATTTCTGTCTGGAAACCTCCTATGGTGGCCATATCCTTTTTCAATTGTCAATTATCAGATTTACCTCGGTAAAATTATCATCGATTGTCACTCTTCAGCCGTTTTTGACGCCTTTTTTTTGATCATACGGTATATTCTCAGAAGATTACACTTATTAGTCAAAAATTATATCCGAAATTATATATTTGGTGTGGACAATCAGTAGGTATCTAATGATTCATAAATTCAGATTCGATATATATATAGGGATGTCATGCAAAAAAATGATCGAGAAGTCTTGTTAAATCATTTTTATGAAAAATAATATTAAATTTTGTTTCAGTTTGTAAGTTTGTTTGATTGATGTTTGTAACTATTACAATTACGAATAGATGTTTTGTATAAGTGTAGTAGAATCTGCGAGTGTACTTATGTCATTAAACAATCACATCAATCAAGATATTAAAGACTATGAGTGACATTGAGTCAGTAAACAAGTTAAATTAACAACAGCTCCTCAACTAATATACCTAAAGAGAGTAGAGATTAATATAGTCTGATTATAAATGCTTAATTAATTCTTAACAATAATTAAGTAATTACTTAATTATCGATATATGATTATTCATAATTAGAGATAATATGATTATTCTGATTATGAAGGGTAAGTAAAATATAATTAAATTTTCCCAAAGATATGCTGGAAAAGATATCATAGGTACTTCATCTCTACCTGTCATATTTAGGATATAATATGGACAAATGCTGAAATGATAATACTATTTTATAATAATAACATAGGTAGGATATAAGAATGCATGTCTGTAAATGAGTATGTTCTCGCTCTAGTTGTTAATGTTGTTGAACATACCTAATAAAGTGGCCGTTAGAGGCCTGCCGTTGTAAGTCCAGATCAATTTTGAGGCCTTGTAACGTCACTTTGTCACTAAATATATCAGCGCGCCAGGCGCTCTCTCGTCCGACGAAGTCGCGACGCTCTTTATGAGCCCGTCGATAAAAACGCTGAGCGGTCCAATTCACAGTTCACACTGTGTGTTAATATTGTGTATCCGGCACAAAAACGAAAGACGTGCAAATCCGTTCGGATCGCGGCACTTTGTGCGTGAAGCGACGGCGATTGAAGGCGCGTCCACACTGGGCATGCGCGCGTCGTGCCGTCCGCGACGCGCCAATCCGCGTAGGGGGCGGGGCCAGCGCGGCTCTCCGCACGTTGCCGTTTCGAAAAACAGAATGGGTCCGCCTCGCTTTTGTCATGTTAATTTTTTGTCTCTTGTCCTTTTGTACAGGTGTTTCGGAATTGTGTTTGCTTTTGGAGGTTTTTTTCTTATATCGATTAGGACGATTGTGCGGGGGTGAGGGGTAGAGGGGGGTGCCGCGGAGCGAAGAGGCGTGTGAGGCGGCGCGCTTTTGGAGCTAGTTTCCTGCGCCCGGGATGAAATACTCTGTTCTCTACGAAGAGAATCCGGGAAAGTTCAAAATACAATGCGCGAAGCTGTAAACAGATTTAGTAAGGGATTTGATTTGGTTAATCCGGCGTAACAGCAATTCTCCTAATTGGAAGAAAAGCTCTGTATATGAATATAGCATATAATGCTGAATTTATATGGAACGTAATGGTTTCCTGTTTAACACACAGACACAGAAATAGTATAAATATATAGAATTGTGTGGGGTTTTGATTAAACAGTGAATTAGATTTTAGCTTACCCCAAAAACTGAATATGGTTTCATATTTCGATTAATTTTTTGACCCATTTTTTTCAAATTTAATTAATGGAGTAAGAATTAAAGAAAACAATATCGAAGAAGAATAAATATTTCAAATCAAGAAAAAATATTTAAATTTTCTCCATATATTTTTTATTTCTTTTCTTGGGTACCTATGAGGTTTTTTTAAATAAATTGAAAGATGGAAACTTTTTTTTATGCGACGTTTCGCTCCAACATAGTGGGCTTTTTCAGACACTTTATTTTTGAAGTCGCCATGCTAGCACAAGTCTTAAAAAACCTCATACCCAAGAAAAGGAAAAAAATATATGGATATCTAAAGGTTTAAGAAAAAAGAAACAATTAAACTATTATTTAAATTTTCTGTTTTGTTGCGATATGTCAAAAGGTATTGAGAATCGGTTCAACGAATAAAGGAAGATTTAGGCAGGCGACATCCAAAAAATGACAGAAGATACAATTTACCCGTGAATTAACCTAAAATCTATTAAGTTTTACTGTGCCACGGCCCAGCTACGTCGAAGTACCGGTTTCCGATAATACACCAAGTTAAGCGACTTAGACGACGCGAGTGGATGGACGGATGACCATCTGGAAACACTGTTAGGTATACTGTTATTCTATGGCAAGAGTGTAAAATATATTCATACACACTGTTCATTCACGCCGCGCACCCGTTCGAGGCCGGATGTGATTGAAGAAAGAATCTTGTAAGTAAGAGTCGATTTAGGCACTGGCCATGTCGGTATGCCATTGACAATGATATGGCCGAGCACCGCGGTTCGGATTTCGCGGAAACAAAGTAGGCCCCGTTCAGATTAGCCTTAACAGCAAAAAGAAAACATTAACTCGTTAACTTAAAACGAGTTACCTAAGTAGGTACTTGCATTTTGTTAATTAGAACTTGGTAAAATTAGTACTCCTATAAGATTTATATCTACCAAAGGATATTCCGTATATTGTGTTGGAAAATGTTTCAGTTGTCATTCAGTATTCTAACATAAAGTTTGTTTACTTATAATTTTTAGAATTTAAACCCCACATGACAAGAAATATTTTCTGTGTGTTCAATAGAAAATTGAAATATAAAGTTGAAGTAGGGGAAGGACACTATTATTACCACTTTAATGAAATACTTCATATAAACGAAAGGCCCATATAAGAAAAATTAGAATAGTTAAAATGATAAGAAATAAATACGAGCAAGTCCAATTATGTTTTATCTATATATTTTTCATTCTTATCTTAATTATTAGAACATATTAGACTATTAATGAGAATGTATTTTTTTATTATTACTTATATTGTGTTTCAACAAAAGGTTTATCATAAATGGACATATTATGTAACGTTTAATTTTGAAATATAACACGAATCATAAGCTTTATCACTTACTATTCGCTAATGCGGTTTCTTCGATGAGGTTCGTTTGAAAAATGTTATTGTGTTTCTGAGATTTCCTTTGATGGGTCGTCCAAAAACCCACTTCGCACAACAAATTCAGAACGAATATCATCAGCTAATAGTGAAAATGAAGCTTTAATGCTTTGGCCTAAATTAGTGTTTAATTTAAAAAAAGTAATCACTTTCCTGATACCAAAACTATTTTCAAAAATTGCTTTTACTAAACAGGTCTGCGTATGTATGATTAATATGAAATTATGTATGATTAAGCTACCTTCTACTTTTTTTCGATTTAAGTATTAATGTTTGATAATTTTTGTCAATTTTAATAAATTTCCTAAAGGGTTTGATCCGACAGAACTTTGTCATTTGTCTCATGGCTTGTAACTTCAATAGCTACCTACCATGACACCGTTTTATTTTCCATCGTATGTTATTTTTATTTTAAGATAAGGTTCTTTGCAAATATATCGAATAATAAAATGAAGAAAATTGTAAACAAAAGGGAAGTATTTGAAATGTTCACCTTAAACTAACAATGACAAAGGTCCCAGCATAGTTTTCTTCAGCTATTTCTATAATGCAACGTGAAGTATTGACAAATCACTTGAGACAAGAACAGCAGTGAAAAGGAAGTGACAAGCAAACACCTTAAATTCCATTTCAGGATTTAAGGTGGTAGACTGTAGCGCGAGGATGTTAACAACTCAATTGTGCTTTAATTGTTAACGTTAAGAAAAAAAAGCCCAAGGTTAAAAAAATAAGTGTACTGCTTATTTGTGTTTTTTTATGTAATGGGATGAAGTCAGACATTCTTAACCCTAGATTTTTGTTTAGTTGTACCGATAGGCTAAATTCGATTTTTTCTAATTTTTTAATAGTCACACTTTTAGTAATTGTATAAGATACTTGTAAATTTTATTGCTGGATTACTGGCTGAAGAATAAACAAATAGAATTATATTTCAATTTTCTGTATACAACTTTCACTCGTTAATTTGAAAATTAGTTTGGAAAATATAAATAATTTTTTCTTATTGTTTTTCATTCATAAATTCTCATATCGTGTTACATAAAATGTTATTATAATTTTTCATAATTTAGTATTTTATGATATAAAAATTATATTTATATCATGGCATATAGTAAAGCAAATGAAAAATAATAAATATATAAGTAATTAATAATTCTTTTAAAGAATTTAAGGAATTTAGAAGAATAATTAAACTATTATCAAAGTTTACAGAATATACCGGGTGTTACATCGTCGAGCGGGACATAGGAAATCCCATAAATAGGCCGATAGCTGGAAAATCTACAATCGCAAGGAATATCTAGAGATTTGAGACCAAAGGTACCCTAATAATTAACTGCAGATGTGAAGCAAGGCAGGAACAAAGAGAAGATGCAAGAAATGATACCAACTTGGAAGTTTTATTGTGCGTGGAAGAGAACGATGGAAGAAAACAAGGAAACTTGAGGATGAAATAGGAATAGATCACACTACAGCGTTTCGAATTTTGAAACGACATAAATAATAGTATTTATGTCAGTATTTATGAAAGAATAGTCTTTCAAATATGAAAAGCACCAAGAGCTTTTAAAAAACATATGTTTCACTGACGAATGCACGTTTACCTTAAATAATGAATCCAATGTTCAAAATTATCGATATTGGAACAAAGAAAACCAACACAGGTTTGTCGAAACAAGGATGCAATATCCACAGAAAGTAAATGTTTGGACAGGGCATTATTTCTTACGCGAAATTTAAATACAGAATATTATTTGGAACTTATCGAAAATCATATTTTACCTGCTTTACATGATGCCGCTAGTGAAAATCAGGAAGTTTGGTACCAAATGGATGGCTGCCCGGCACATAGTACCCTGGCTGTTCGGGAATATTTAGACAATAGTTTTAACGGAAACGTTATTGGCCTAAATCATACAGTAAATTGGCCAGCAAGGTCTCCTGATACTTCGCCAAATGATTTCTTTCTCTGTGGCCATTTAAAAAACAGGATATACAAGGATAAAAAATACCCAATTCTAGACGAGTTAAAAATGCTATTTCTGCCGAATGCAATAGAATTTCAGTTTACCAACTAGCGAATGTAAGAAGAGAATTTTATGATCGCCTGGGTTATTGTCTAACATTCGATGGAGGAATATTTGAACATCTTCTTAAATCCTAAAGTTCTAACAATTTAATAGTACCTAAATTAATAAGTTAATGAATATTGTAATAATACTATAATTAACCTTGTAATTGATTACTTTATTTTACTTTAATTCATATTAATTTGTATTTATAAATACATCTTTAAGATTTCCAATGTAGGAATGAGTTTTCAATAATAATAAAGCATTAAATAGGTAAATTTCTGAAATGACAACTTCATTTGACAGTTATCTTTTACTTTGACTGGTGCTCATAAGTAAATACAGGGCCATAAGAAAAGAGAAATATTTAAAAAGAAATCGGCGATAACTTATAAACGAGCTAATCAAAAATATCTAACGTTATTCTTTTGAATGTGGGTTTTAGTGCTCTTCAATAAACCTAAATAGAATTATTCTCTAAAATAATTAGGGAAGTCAATAATTGACCCCATTAAAATTTACATGGGATTTCCTATGTCCCGTCCGACGATGCAATACCCGGTATACTCTGTAAAGTATATATTTTGTAAACTTTGCTATTATAGAGTAAGCATAGTTTGTTGGTATTCTATCTCTTTAATTTTAATTTCTTTTGTATTCCTTTTTATGCTAAAATAGCATAATTAATCTGTGTTATTAGTAACTAAAATTATAATAAAGAATATTAATATTTAATGCACGAGTGCCTACTACTGTCTACATGCTTGTAAAAGAGTTATTTATGAATCATTTGCAATTCTTATTCATTACAAAATTAAAATTATTATGAATATGTAGGTTTGTAATTCTC